GGCCCATTCACTGAAAATTCGACGTTGTGGCAGATCGTTCGGCTTCAGTTCTTGCACGAGCTGTATTTTATACGGTTTTACACCAAGATCTTTGCGTAAAATCTTCCATGTGGTCGAATAACACAAACCCAATTGCTGCGAACGGCGACGAATCGACATTTCACGGTCTTCAGCAACACTCTCAGAAACAGACGCAATATTCTCTTCTGTACGCACTGTACGCATTCGTGTGGTTGGTTTAATGTCCAATAAAGTAAACTGAGTGCGAAACTTGGTCACAAACGCATTAATTGTTTGCTCACTTGGTCGATTATGTAGACCATAAATCGGACGTAAAGCGCGAAACACATTTCGAACCGAACACTGATTTTGGTAATAAAATTCAATGATTTGCAAGCGTTGCTCGTTAGTAAGTCTATTCATGATGAAATTTCAAAGCATACTGAGCATCTTTCTCTTTGACACCATGTCTGAAATCCCACGTGATCTGTCAAATACTAATGCATGAAAATCCTAACCTCAAAAAAATCACCCGTTACATACATACTGATGCATGTATATTGGGGTGCCTCACAAAAAAAAAAAACGATAGGGTTTTCCCAGCGGAGTTATAAAATGTACTATATTGTAGGACTTTCGCCAAAATACGTGTATTTCGGAAAAATATTAAGATTAACGTGAGCTGGACCGATATATGCATATACACACCTAAAAATTGCATACTTATTTTGTTTTTAAAGATTTTTAAGCTTAAACTCTTCTATGATTAAAACTAATTTTATTTATACAAAATAAATTTTCGGATGAATTTTCAAATCGGTTATGTCACTTAAATCTAAATATTTTTCTGATATATTTTCGCGGATGCCTTAAAATTTATTTCATAATTTCGATTAAAAACACTTGATTTTTCTTTTGTATATGGAGAGCGATGCACCCTAATGTATATGTATGTAAAACAATGCAAGTGTATAGACGTGTAATTGTTCTATTTGTTGTTGCGGTTATTGAACGACTTACATCAGTTCTGAGACTGATATTATGATACGAGCAGTTACAAAAATGACCTAACTTTTCGTGGCAATAAATCCCTCATGGAAAGAAGAGTGAATAAAAAGTTAGATCAATTTCTAATTCGAATTTTACATTCAAAGTAGCTATGTTTTCAAATGTAATTTTGGGAACTTAGGTTCTATTCAAAATAAGCATTTTCCAAAAAGACTTTGTGGATGTGATCTCGAATATTACTTAATAAAAGGATCCTTTCACTTCGATAATTCCTAGGAATCTTAATCTTAGCGCACAAACTAATTCCATAGGCTCCTGTTTGGGACGTGTCTCAAGGGTATTGAAAGTCTTAGTCTAGGGCCATATACGCGTGCTCCACCACCAAATCGCAATTAAGAACGGGGTAGGGACGGTCTCCTTAGCCGAGTGGTGGTCCACTCAGTAGGACCTGCGTTCCATATGACCGAGCGCCATGCGTGATGAGCGGCCGTTACAAAGTTGCTGGTTTTTGGAAAGCTGAGCGTTAGGGAAGTGATAACATTCCAGGTATCACTTTCCTTGTGGGGCAGTCTCTAATGGACATGCACGAACATACTTCGTCATTTACTTATGCAGTTACTCATAACAGACAGTGAGTCCAGTTTGCTGTGTTGAGAATATAGTAGGAAGGAAAATTGGAATAGATTTCTGCCCCCTCGAATTTGTTTGAAGTCAAAATCTAGTAAAAACTAGTTGTAATATTTGTAGTAATGATGCATGGTAAACAAATGAAACTATTAATACTATTCAAATAATGGGCAGTAAGTCAAGAAGTGTCCAATTATGGCGATCCACATATGTATTCTTCAGTTGTCTACATTATTTAAATTTGTTTTTTGGTATAATAATTTGAATATATTACAATGAAAAATTAGTGTTCAGACAAGTTGATGAAACGTGGAATTTGACGATAGCGTCAACCCATCCATCAATGAATCTACGCCCCTCTGCCTGAAATGTCGAAAATGTCAATTATGATGGACTAACCGACAGATATCAACCGTTATTGTAAGGTCATTCGTAACAACCAAGAATATCATTGTTTTATTTAGAGTATTCAGCATATTGTATTTAATTATGGATATAATTTTAGCAAAACTCAAAGCAAAGTCATGCAATTCACCTAGGTATAGATACAATTTTTTTTATTACTGAGTCAACATGGAGCTTTTCTCTTTTAGTGATGGGTTCTCCGGTGGCACAAAATTTGTAAAGCAAAATCTAATTTACGGTAAGTTTAGATGCCACATTTGAGCCGCCACGTTGAAGCTTTCAAAAGGCCTCATGGCTTTTTCCCAAAAAAACCTCAATAACTTTAAAAGATGCGGAGGTTTAAAAATACTGTAGCTATTTTTACATCTGGGGACAAAACTCCATCAAGTGCCAATAAAATATATGTATAAAATTTCCCACTGACTTATAGGCAAATTATTGGCCGCTTTGTGAAAAGTTCCATGAATTTGCTGAACTTTAAGGGCCTTTGAGGCACGTCTTTCCGTTATCCGATTTTAAAAACACAAAAAAACTTCGCTCTGCTTTGCGAAGCTCCGCCAATTACTTACATATACCTAGTGCAGAAACGTCCTTCCGTACATAGTCCTCTCATTGTGTACGTGGGCGCCATTGCTTTTGTTATCCACACATCGTAATCAAATTAAAGGATCTTCTTACCGGGGTATCCTTATTCAAACATACGACATTTCATAGCGAACGTTGTATTTTTAGGCATTTGAAAATGTCATGCCATTATGGAGCTCCTTCCAGAAATTCATTATTACTTCTTATTCAAAACTTGTCGCCTGGGTAACTCAGTGAATTTTCGCGGTCGACTCATGGACTCAAGCCCGTTTTGATGAGCCAGCTTAGTGAAGTGGCATAATTGAGTTATGAAAATGAGAGCGTGGTGGCCTACTCTGCTACTGCGGAAATACAGTCAAGAGCACGGTTGCCATTTTGGTACACTATTACATAACTTCCAGATTTGGTACATTTTTAAAATCTGGTAAAATGTGATAATTATTTCTTACAGCGTTTACCGAATTCATAATCTCACTCAGGTAATTGAAAAGCATTGAAATATAACCAGATAATCCGACTCATTGCGTAGGTCGTAAATTAGGCTAAATTGTACGTTTCGACAACAGTAGCATTGTCTATTGTCGTAATGAAATAAGTAAACGACCAAAATCGTCGAAAACTATACAGTGCTGCCAAGTTTTTCCGTTTTAATACACTAGTCGAGTGGAAATTTTAGGCAATGACGTGCAATTTTCGATACGATTCGACTCTCGAAAAACGACTGGCATTCGACACGACTCTCGCAATGAGGGTGAATATTTTGCGATTTCCTTAACATTTTACCTGCGTTTGATAGTACATCATCCGAAGCAAAATCCAAGGCCAAGAATCGATATTCCTATTGCAAAATAACTGTGCTCCTGAAAAGCTTAACAGGTAAAGGATTTAACGCTTTTGGCTATGCAAAAAAAATCTACATAGTGGACAGAATTGAAGGCAACCCTTCCTCTAGATTGGAAACATCCTTAAAACTGACTAAGAAATGATGCCCTGAAAGAGGTCTGCCAATAAGAAAGAAAGTTAATTTGACTAAATCCAAGATCCAAATCGTAAGAGGAAAGCTATCTTGGGATAACCTTCAAAAAAAGTTTGATAGAAAAGTAAATATCACAAATGAAAAAATTGGTATCTCTTATACAGAAATACTCCTGAAGGTGTGAGAAAAATTTGTTTTGAAGTTCGGAATTTCCTCTCCCACAAAACAGGGAGAATTAATTTCCCAGGGAGTTTATAGTTGGATGATTTTACTCTCGCGAAAAATTAAATCCGCTGGGAAAGAACAACCGGGAATATTTAGAATCAGGCTGAATAAAAACTCAGTTAAAAAAAAAGATATGTGGCCGTTTTTTAAGAGAATTTAAATTAAGAAAGGTATGTACCAGCATCACCAGAAATGGCTCTTTTCTTTTTAAACAATCTGGGCACCCTAGCGCTGGTTATATATCGAATATTTTAGCTAAGAAATCAGTACTGAGTTACTGAGTCAAATTCGTTTAGAAGTGAGTCTGAGCGTGCGGCAAACTGCTGACAGCCAGCTCATAAATTCAAAAGCATCTCAACAAAGTTCAGCATCATCTGCATATCTGCTCCATGTAAAAGAACAGAGAGGCAGAGATTTAAAGTGGTGATAGGCACCACCTTGTCCGCGGGCAAGGCTCTTTAAAGCTTTTTATACATTTTGAATAGACTCGTGCAGAGTAAAAGCTCTCTCTTTCGTAAATAAGTAAAAAATTACAATAACAAATTATACGCAGATATCCATACTGTCATTGGTATGAGTTACAACAAACACATCATTTTGACGTAGTGCCCTCTACGGCGTAAAACTCAGCTGTCGCCCCAACACCACCTTGTTAAATACACCTCGGAATGTGAGAGAGAGGAGAGCTTTGTGTTTAACCTATATACCAAGTCAAAAGTAGCACCTGTTGATAAGTATTATCCTTCGCTTGAGCCCCAGGTTCACATTATTGATGGTCTTGATACTGGATCCTAGAGTGAGGCCCAATATGCGTAAGCTCTCTTCGCTTGCAGATACTACAATGCCTTATCCTTTTTCACTGCTAGAGCAGCCTCTTTTGTTTGGTTCTCCACGTTGAAGAAGGCGACTCTGACGTCTCTGGTATTGAGACAATATCATCAGTATACGCTAGCCGCATCGAATAGGAATAAAGTTACTGGTCAGGATTGAAGAGCTAATTTTAGAAGGAGCTTCTTTTCGGTGCTGTTAAATGTGGGTTTGAAGTCAACGAAAAGGTGGTAAGTTGCGATCGCATACAAATGGTTTTGAAACATTTTGAAAATCTCATTTAACTTTGGACTTCTCTGGCTTATTTGGTAACCTTCATTAAAAATTTTGGGTTCATACTTATTTAAAGTAAAAAAAAAATATTTATTTTTTTATTTTTTAAATAGTTAGAAGTTGCACAAATCTCTACTAACTCAACTTCGAGTACATTTTTTCCGTTTCGCGCCTTTTCAGAAATACTATTGCGCCATAGAAGCCACCTGCCAGCACGCCTACGATTAACAGCGCCACAGCAAAATAGTACATAAACAAGTCGAAGAGATGTAGTTGGCTGGATGGCATGCCAATTCCAAGTGTTTTCAATTGGACACCACCCTGATGACGCAAAACATAGTCCATCCAATACATGCAAGTTTCCACAGCGCCAAGCGGCCGATCACGAAAGGCGGTGCCCACCTGACGTATTGACAACGGATATGTGCTGTCTTCTTTAAGCGCCTGCAGCGCCCATTTAAGTGACACCTCGGTGAGATTGTCGTGATTTAGCTGTATGCCTACACCCAGCCGCACCGCCAACGCCATATTGCGCACTTCATTGCGGAATATGGGCACACCAATCATGGGCACATGCCGCACGATGCCCTCCTGTAGGCTAAGTAAATCCCCATTCATAATGAATACGCGCACATGAGGATGCGCCAATATGTCCGCTTGTGCCACGGCATGTTGCACCATAAAATTGGCAGGTAAATCCTTCATCGCTGTATGGTCGTGACATGTCCATAGCACGCGCTCTTTCAGTTTGCCCAGCGTGTTGACAAGTAAATGTAGCAGCGGTTTCGGTATGTCGCCACAGTGCTGTTCATTGCCAAGATTCATGTAGATGACACCAGCGCGCGACTCGTCGAGAAAACGGCGTATGGGCCAGGGCAATTCGCGTGGCGGTCGTATGTGCATGCCGCCAGCGGCGATTGTGTTCGCGAGCAGCGGTCGTAACGTCATCAGTGGGACGTGACTGTTGAGCAGTAATATTGCGAGTTCTGCTTGCAGTGTGGCTATGTTAAGCTCGTTTACACCTATAGGATATTATAAAAAAAAAAATTAATTAAACACGTGGAATTCATTTATTTACATACAATACGTTGTTAATTGAGCGGTACATAGTTTGTCTACCTTTGAAGTGTGCAAAATGTTTCCGCATAAGTTGCTCTTGCGCACCCCAATTGGACTTCACAAATTGCTTGCGGCGTGACAAGCAACCACGTATCGCACCCAAGCGTTGCCAATAGCCCATCGCCGGCTGATATGTTTCGTAATCGTTGGGCGAACAGGCGGCGGGTACCATTTGCTCCAGCACATGTTGCATGTAGCTCTCGAAATTCGTGCTCACAATAGCCACAGTAGGTTTGTTGTAGAAATGTCCCACTGCCAGCAGTGATTCAGTGTAGAATAAATCGACAATCACCAGATCGTAATCGAATTCTTTGACGGGCAAACGAAGTAATTTTTGTACGGCTGCATTCGACAGGAAATAATCGACGGCGGTCGCGCCCACAGCAGCCAGTGACTTTTGCATTGAAGACTCAGCCAATTGACTCAGTTTCTGTAG